ATAATTTTAATAGTTTAGTTATTTATTCTCATTTTTTAAAATTCAAAATATAACCTATACGAAAAAATCTAAAATTTAATTTTATAGCTAATTTGATTGTTTAATTTATTTTAATAATGTAAAATTAAAGAAAAATGATGGAGGATATATAAACTGTTATCAAATATTTATTATTAGAATCATTAAGTGTCATATATATTAGTCATTTATGGTAATTCCGTACGTTTTATTTATGGAAAGAAAATAAAATAGTAATTATATCTAGGGGATCAATCATTAAGTGTCATATATATATATATATATATATATATATTAGTCATTTATGGTAATTCCGTAGATTTTATTTATGGAAAGAAAATAATGTAAACTCGGTTTGATGCGTGGGATATATATTAATGTAAACTCGGTTACATGCGTTACATGCGTCTGTAATTATTGTTTCTCTAGCAAATTTCAATTAAACCTAAAGCTGCCACGTCAGTTTAATTGGTATGCTAATTGATTGACAACTAAGCAAGGTTACTTTTTAATTATTACAAACTTGAGGTTACATCTTTTCAAATGTTTCTCAATTAATATATAGGGGATACCTGGTAACTTTTGTTGACTACTTACTCCCTCTTGTTATCCTCTAAAACCTTTTACCATATTAAAAAAAAAAATATAATCCTTTTACTTTCTAACAAATTAGTTTTTTTTTTTAATTTTGTTAAATAAGAAAATATGTTTTATTAAATTAAACATTGAAAATGTACAGTGATACTAATACTTATTAAATTTTAAACTTTAAAATGATGTTTAATACCTCTCCATGTCATAATTTATGATTTTTAGAGAGTTTATGATGTTTCAATATATGTAACATGTTTTTAGGTAACTCTTAACTTTATTAAAAACTATGTAGGCATAATATATTGTAACATACACACTATGTTCCTAAAAGATAGACATTTAGGTGTTCTTACCCATATTAAGAAAACACATTAAATCACTATCGTTTTTAGTAATTTTCAATTTTCAACAATTTTTATCCAATAGTAATCTAATAAAACCAATTAATTTATTTGAAACATGTAATTTTCTCATAGAAAACATAGAATATACATCTTTTAAAACAAAATATTTTTCCAGAACATGAATCTTTTAAGAAGGGATGGAGTATTTTTTAGTTGGTTGAATAATTTATATTTAATAGTATTTTAGACATAAAGTAATGAAAAAAATTCTTAAGAATACTTAAACTAAATTCTGTTAAGATTTTTAATATACAATTTTCTTTTGCTGCATAGTTTAATACTCAAACTAATTATTTTGCTCATTTTAATACCAAAAGTATACTCATTTAATAATATGTTACATACAAAAATATTAAAATCTCTAATATTCAGAAACTAATCTTAATATTTTCAAATTTTATTTTAAATCTTAAGAATAAAATTTGATAAAATTTATTTTGTTTCTAATATTAGTTTTAGTTTTAGTTTCAGTTTCAAATTTATTTTGTTTACTAAAGTTTAAAACTAATTTATTTATTTCATTCAAAATGATTCTTTTCAAAATTTAAATATTAGAAAAAGTTAATTTTAGTCTTCAAAATTAAAATAAATTTTGAAATTGTTAAGATTTAATTTTAGATATTTTGTAAGTCTTGTTTGGAACTCATTTATATTTTTGATATAGTAAAATTTATTAAAATGAACAAAATCATTTGTTTATGTATTAAACTGGATGGCAAAAAAATTTCGGTATTAAAAAGCCTAACAAAATTAGTTGAAGTATTTTATGATTTTTTCCCTAAATTAATTATCTTAATAATTTTATATAAATCTAAAACATCATACCTTTTGAAACAGGAAAAATATAAAACGATAAAATATTAAATATGAAATATTGACATCTTCTGCCAGCTTTAGTAATGTTTTTATAAAATATTAATATACATCTAATAAAAAGCTTCAATAACAAAGGAAAACATAGTGTTTCAAAAGAAAAAACAAAGCAAAACATAATAACTATTTGCGAGAAAATAGTTAATTTCAACTTTAACAATTTCTGTCGCGCAGTTTTCTACTTAACTTTTATATTGTGTCTATTTCAGCCTAAACTGATATTTATTTCAAATAAACACATAAATTATAAAATTCAAATTGAAATTTGGACCAAAATAATGTTGGTCAACTATCTACAAATATATAGGAAATAATTGTATTTACATAACTTAAAAACACTAATAAATTTTAATACCAAAAAGATACATAAAATTAAGAAATTATGCAAAAAAATTGCAAACGATTTGGTACTAGCGCAGATTTTCTTCAACATTGAGAAATAGTGCCAAAATGATTTGACCAACACCATCTCTTGCTGGAAATGTTTACGGACATGAGCACATATTATCATCCTTGTTAGTTGAGGTAGATTTATTTTGTTTTATTTGTGTTCATTATCAATAATAATAGTGTTAGTTAATATGAGATTTTTTATTATCTTGTTTTCTGGCTTAGAAAATGTTTGGTCCGACTTTAAGGTTTTTTTTTGTTCTCTCTTGTAAATGTATTTCCTTTTGTGTTGTTTAGGAGCTCGTCTAAAAAAATTAAAGAAGGTGGTCTTGTCACAATGACATTTACTAGAAAGCTAATGACCTTGTCCGTCCTAGACAACATCACAGATATGTATCATCGGCTACGAAAAAGCCAATGATTTGGTTAGTGCTCACAAACTCATACTTTTTACTTGCTCAAATTACTCTTATGATATATGTTACATTTGTTAAACTTCTTACTTGCTTAAACTTCTCTTATGATATTTGTATTTGTTCACTTGCTAGACTCTCACTGTTTGGGATCAACTTGTGAAGTTTCATTCAAACACTCATCATTTGCCTAACAAAGATTTAGTCCAATCTTTAATTGGACCACCTCTCGCTGGAAAAGTTTATGGGCAAGAGCGTTTATTATCTTCCTTGTTAGTTGTGGTGAATTTCATGTATGTCAGTTATGAATATTACTATTGTTTTTAACATGAGATTTCTTGTTGTTCTTTGTAGGTATGTACCAAAATGTTACCAAGTGACATCTCACAGTTCGAGAGTGACATAATTTACATCACAAAACTAGTTGGCTAAAATTTGGAAGCATCCAATCTTATTCCCAGAATGGTTTTGAAAATTGTACCATTAGGAGTCATAACTCAATTGACGAATGAAATGTGAGCTTCTTATATATAATTTTATTCTCTCTTTGTGTTGTGTTCTTATTGAAAACATGTCGAGATAGATTTTATGCATTTTTTATTATCTCTTTCAAATCTTTAGAATAATGTGTATTTTTTTAACATGATGTTAAGTAGAACCATTAGTTGTATAGATTTTGTTTAGAATGATACAAACTCAAAGTTTATATGTAATCTTGATGCAACATACCATGTCATCTGTTTCTACCACATAACATATCATTTTGTATCAACTTTGTATTATTCATTCTTTTACATACACACATAGATACTATTTTTTATGATGTTGTGTTATATATATATATTCACCCTTCTGATAAGTCCTACACTTTGCGCTTTTGAATTGTTTCCTTATGCCTTTTTTATTCTCTCTTTGTGGTGTGGTTTTATTGAAAACATGTCGCTGTGTTCTCTGCTTGATTCGAGACAGTTTTTGTGCATTTTTTATTCTCTCTTTGTGGTGTGTTTGTTGAAAACATGTCGTTGTGTTTTCGGCTAGATTCATACCAGTTTTTATGCATTTTTTATTCTCTCTTTTTAAGCTTGATTGTGGTGTGTGCTTATTGAAAATATGTCACTATGTTCTCTGCTGGATTCGAGACTGAGGCTCTGATTGTATGTCACAATGAGCGATATATTTTAAGCAAAAATCATATTTACTATTAATTTAGTTGAAAGTGAATCAATTAGGTGAAAACGTTTTCACCTATATTTTCGTTAGTTATTGTTTTAACATTGTTTTCAGGTGACCATTACAAGAAAGAGGGTCACAACTCCATCTCCATACTCACTCTTCTAGGATCCACAGACTTGACACTGGACAATCTACAAGTCTTTTCAGGCTATTTGTAGGAACAACTGTTTGGTACATGTATCTGCAGTGACATAAATGGTGGAAAAGCTTAAGGAGTATGCTAATGTTCAAAATAGCAAGTATTCATTTTGCTCCTTATGAATTCATCTTTCTTCTTATTTGAGCAAATCTGTTTATGGCTTACCTCTTTTTCAGGTTTGAAAAAGAGATCATCTTCAAACACTCTTCTACTTTATAGAAGCTTCCAAAGAATAAAATTTATGGTACCTTAGCATTTTAGGGACGTTCATTTGCTAAGGTGAGTTTTTTTCTGTAATATCTGTCTCTGATCACTATTCATGTTTAACATGTTTGCTTTTTTCTACAGGAGGGAGATATATCATTCACCTCAATCATGGAAGAGGTTGGCTTCGGAGTTTTACCCTTCCTGGAGTTTACCCTTCCTACGCCAAGCTACTATGGTAACAAACATCCTTCTGTTATTATTTTGTATATTTGCATATGTTAACACGGATTTCCATGGGATTCATATAAGACCATATAAGTAAACAATACATATTTTGTGTTGTTATATTATAATGTTGTATTCCGATTTGGTTATGGTAACTAAAATTCTGTAACAGAAATAAAATAAGAATATTTTTTAAAAATTATATATTTATAAGTTTAAATAGAAACAAAATAACCAATTTAAATAACCTAAACAACATTTTATTTGATACCTCTTTAGTTTAGTCTTAATGGCACTAATTCTTATTATTCTTGATTTTTTCGCTAACCATATTGGTTTGTAATATTAACTCATAATTTGTATATCTACCTATCGCAAATTCTCTAAATTTAAAGTGAATACTGAAATACATCAAAATCCTTCTAAAACATCATGTATTATGGCGTAGTTATTTGAATTTGCCACTATAATTACATCAAAAAGTATTATACATAATGTAATTATTTGCAATAAGATCACAATCAAGTGGTTGTAAATATTATTTTTCTTACTTACGGGGTTAGAAGTTGATGAAATCAGAATATTTGGGGCAACAGAGTAATATTATAGAAGCTAATCGTGTTGAAAACGAATGTAAGGAAGGCATCTTCGCCGACGCATTCATCTGCCACCATCGTCTTTTCTCAAAAGTGGTTAGTAATTAACCATATGATAAGCTTCAGCATATTACTGTTATTCACATAAGCAGATCAAGAAAGCAGTTGCAACACACATAAATCTTGTACAATTCCACAAACTTGAACAAAAGTAGAGGAAACTTCTTATTTTATAAAATGACTAGAACACAATGACAGGATACATAGAAGCTTCGAATTTTAGAGCAGACGCCAAACCATTTTTATTCCCTCATGCTTCTCTCAAACTCTCTATTTTCCTGAAACACAAAAGTTAGATCAAGAAAAAAGAGAAGTATTAGCAATGGTCTCACGTTAGCGTGTCACTCAAGTGTTTGTTTTTAATTTTTCTTTTACCTCCTCCCACTCTACTGCAAGTCTGCCTGCAGGATGACCTACTGTAATAGCAGCTTCATAACGACAAAAACAAAATTAATAAAATTCATTTTAGGGATAAATTATATATCTCTCTCTCTATCCATACCTAATAAAAGTCCCGAAAACAGTCCGATACCACGACGTTTGAGTTGCGCTTTATTAAAATTCCTCTCAACGAACGCATCGAAATCGAAGCCATACTCTCCTGAAAGAGAAAAAAATTAACAAATAAAACACATGGAAGAGCCAACACGTAGGACACAAGAATTCTAAAGATCTGAAAAAACGTTACCTTCGCTACCACGCCATGAAGAGAGATTTTGGCGAGTAGACCCGATCGATCTCCAGCGCTGTAAACTTATCGTTAAACGAATCGCACGATAAAAAGGGATGGATGACAAATAATAGATTTCAAGATTCACCTGCGCGATTACAGATCTCAGATTCGGCCACATGATCTCCAACTAGGGTTTCGCTCTTCTTCTTTGTCTTTGGTTTCGTCAAAAACGAAGAACAAATATTGGTCGTAATAATATCTTCAATGGATAAATGGGCCTCAGCCCTTTTTTACCCTCCAAGAGTGTATATAGGCCTGGGACTTTTGTCAGAACCAAATGGGTCAAACCGGACCGAACCGATTTTTTCGGTTTGGTTCGGTTTTTAATTCGGTTCAGTTTGGTTTTCGATTTCCAAAAGAAAAATATTAAAAATATTAAAAACCAAAAATAACCAAAAATATCCGAAAATAATCAAAAAATCAAACCGAAAATAACCGAATAACCAAAAAATAATCGAATTTAACCGAAATAACCAAAAAAATTGGAAATATTATACCAAAGTTAACCGAAAACTTAAAAGTTTGCTTATTTTCCGAAATAAAATTGTAAACCGAAATAAACTGATAACCGAACTGAACCGAACCAAAATTTCATTCGGTTTATTTCGAAATTGTTTTTAAAAACTTCGGTTAACCGAAAACCGACAGACCGCACCGAACCGAAATTTTATTCTGTTTATTTCGGAATTGTTTTTAAAAACTTCGGTTAACCGAAAACCAACCGTTCGGTTTCGGAAAACTGAAGTCGGAGGCCTAAGTGTATATATAAAGACGTTCCTCTACCACATCAAGAGACTAGACTCTTTAATCATATTGATTGTTTTGACAAACTTCGGTTAACCGACAGACCGAACCGAACCGAAATTATATTCGGTTTATTTCAGAATTATTTTTAAAAACTTCGGTTAACCGAAAACCGACGGTTCGGTTTCGGAAAACTGAAGTCGCAGGCCTAAGTGTATATATAAAGACGTTCCTCTACCACAGCAAGAGACTAGACTCTTTAATCAAATTGATGATGATAAAAACTGAAATCTCTCCCAAGAATTCCAACATGGAACTGGAGATTTTAATAGGATTTTTAACATAAAAACCCCTCAACTAAGTTTGTTTTGGGTAAAAACCCCTAAACTAAATATTTAATGAAAAAAACTCCAAACTAACTTTATTTAGTGAATTAAACCTTCGCCGATCATAATTACCAATACTACCGGTAAATCTTTAGTCTAGGGGTTTTATCATTAAACACAAAAATTAAAAAAAAAAGAAAAAAAAAATCAAAATATAATAACATTATCTAAAAATTCGTAATTTTAATTTTCAAAACTACCATTTTAAAAATTTCTGTAAATATATGAATGATTTCTTATCCTTGTAAAATAGATTTTTAACTCTAAAATACCTTAACTAAGTTTGTTCTGGGTAAAAAACCCCAAACTAACAAGTAAACCCCATATTAAACATAGTTGAAGGGTTTTTATCATTAAAAATCTAAAAAAAATTATAACATTATCTAAAAATTAATAATTTCAATTTTTAAAATTAGCATTTTGCAAACTTTCTGTAAATATATGAGTTTTATTTGTTTTAACATCAATATTACGTATACAGATTAAAATTTTAAAACACCAAAATATAATAAAAAGCATCTAAAGATTTATTATTACATTTTTATTAAATAAGATAATTTTTATTACAGGTAAATCGTTAGATAATTTTTCTTATATTTTCTTGGTTTTTACATTTTAAATTTATACATATATAATTTTGATTTTAAAAGGATAACAAATCAGACTCATATAGTTACAATTTTTTTTTAAAATGCTAGTTTTAAAAATTAAAATTACAAATCTTTAGATAATTTTATTATATTTTGAATTTTATTTATTTTTATGTTTAATGATAAAACCCCTAAACTGAAGATTTACCGGTAGTACTGGTAATTATGACCGGCGAGGGTTTAATTCACTAAATAAAGTTATTTTGGGGGTTTTTTCATTAAATACTTAGTTTAGGGGTTTTTACCCAAAACAAACTTAGTTGAGGGGTTTTTATGTTAAAAATCCATTTTAATACACCTATACTAGAATGGTTGTGAGCAAAATGGCTATAGCATAGATCTGAATGCCTTTAATAGACAGTCTGTGGAATAGACTGTCCGATCTCAGTTTAATATTCTTTAACCCATGTCACCAAGCAAATATCAAAGAACGATAAACCTCTAAAAGATAAAATTAGCTTTTTAATTTATTTCAGGCATATATAAAAGTTTCTAAATTTTAGAACAACATACTATGATAACTAGCTTAATGAAACGAATTCACTATAGGATTGCACCGAATTAAGTAGTTGGAACTTGGGCAGATCACTAGTACAGAGTTCTGCGTAACGTACAAGTAATGTCGGACTTGGGCTAAAACGTTTACTACAGATGATATTACACACCAATATCGCATGAAGAACACGTTTGAGAAGAGAGTTGAACAAAGAAACTGCAAATATAAGAAATATAAATGAAAAAGCAACTGCAACAAAAGTCTCATAAATCTATTTTACACAACTGCAACAGCAACTGCAACACTTTTTCTTGTCGTTTACAATCGCATCAACCTGCAATCACAGAAAAAAAAAAACAGACAGTACATTCGACTTCGGTTTAGATCGTATTTTCAAGTCCAGAAAAAAAAACTAAAATAATAATAATGATTCATACATCAATTTCAAGCAGTGCAGCAGCCCTACGCTTTTTCTTCTCGTTTGCAGTCGCTTCAACCTGCAATCACAGAAAAAAAAAAAAAACAGACAGTACTTCGGTTTAGATCGTATTTTCAAGTCCAGAAAAAAAAAACTAAAATAATAATAATGATTCAAACATCAATTTCACGCCGTGCATGATCAGCCTTTTCCGTGTCGATTTTGTATATCAGCCAACGTTCTGAAGTATAGAAAAAAAAAAAGAACAAGCACTAATGAATTTGATTGTTTTTTCTTATAAGGAGAAAAATCTCAAATACATATAATCTCAGCATTACCGATCGCGCAGTATAACACATATCCAAACACGTGTGCTCGAAAAGAAATTTTCTCTGGAGTTATATTCCTCTCAGCGAACGCGATAAAACCATGCTCTCCTGAACGAACAACTAACAAATAAAACACATGGAAAATCCGACAGGACTCGAGAATTCTAAAGATCTGAAAACGTTACCGTCGCTACTACCACGAGATGAAGAGAAGTTGCGGCGACTAGACCCGATCGATCTCCAGGCCTGTATAATTATCGTTAATCACAATTAAAAGGGAGAGGTACAAATAATCAAATTCCCAAAATAGATTTCTCATTCACCTGTGAAACGACAGATCTCAAAGTCGGCGACATGGTCTCAAACTAGGGTTTCGCTTTTTTGCTTCTTCTCTGGTTTCGTCAAAAAGAGGAAAGCATGCGGTCTTTAGGGCATCCACATTTGTGATAGATTATATAAGTGTCTAAATAATATTACTATTTTATATTTGTTTCCTAAAGATGGCTGTTTAATATTATATTATATTATATTATATGAATATCAGTAGATATATATATACTAGGTGATTTTCCCGTGCTCATGCACGGGCATGTATATTTATAAAATAAATATACAATAATAACGGATTGATATTTACTTTAATTTTTAAATTAATTTATAGTTTGTTTGTCTAATTTATATTATAATATTATATTACTTTAATTATATATATAATTTTAGATATGTTATATTTAGTGTGTTTTATTGTTTTTACGGTCGATTTGGTTATCATTTAGATATATTGGATTCTATCTATTTCTCTGAATTCAACTATTATCTTTTATATTTTAAAATATTAAATTTTTGATTAATTGTCTTATTTGCATTTATGATGGTTGTTATCTTAGAAATATAAGTATATTTAGTAAGATTATATATAACTAAAGATTTTTTTGTGCTTAGAAGGAAAAAAAATAAAAACTAAAGTTTCTGATTCTAAATTACATACATAAGTAACTAATGAATTTTTAGAAGATTTTGAACACATATCAATATTTACAATAGTTAAAATATTTTATAAATTCTAAATAAATTTATGTTTTAGATTGTTTGGATGGTAAACTGAAATTTATTTTAAATAATTTTAAAAATAAGGATTCTGATTTGCTTAAGTATTTTACTATGGTTATATTAAGTTTCACAAACATAAAAACAAAAAATTAAAAATCAAAAGATTGTTAAGAATACAGATAATTTTAACTATTAAAATATAATACATATACCTCGTTAAATTATAGAGTGTTATGGTACTTTAAAATAATTGTAGTTATTTTCTGTTTTTATGTTTGTGAAACTTAATATAACCATAATCAAAATACTTAAGTAAATCATAATCCTTATTCTTAGAACAGATAATTTTAACTATTAAAATGTAATATATCTACCTCGTTAAATTATATAGTGTTATGATATTTTAAAATAATTGTAATTACTTGATCAAAAGATGTTTATCATTAAATTTATTTTTAGTTTTATTTTTAGTATCTCTTAAAATAGTCAGTAAAAAGTGATTTTTTTTGAGAAATTATACTATATAAGTTAAATAGAATTTATATTTTTACTGTAATTGTAAGATATTATAGTCAAATAAATATACTAAAAAAATAATTTCAATAATACTAATTACAAAAAAAATGTCAGTTAAACATATATCAGTTTATGTTAGTTGATTATTTTATGTAATCATCTAACAAAATAGATAGATATATACAAAAATATTTATTTTGAATATATATTTTATTGTTTAAAATTATTTTTTTAAGGAAAAAATATTTCTTTTTCTAATAGCAATATTTTTTGTGTGAAATTTTTTTTATGAAATCTCATTATATACAGATATTGTTTTTTTTTTATCTAAGAAGATATAGATATAAAGTATTTTCTACTTCAAAGGTATATTTAATGTTATTTAAATTAATTATTACTATTTTGTGAACTTTCCTTTTTTTATTAAACCATATTATATATACTTATATTTTCGTTTTTAAATAGTTTTGTAAATTTTATAAATGTTTCCTTTTTATTATATATTGTTATTTGGAAATTTTAAAAAAGGAAATAATATTTAATTATATTTTTAATTCATTAGGGGTATCATAGTAATCAACCAGCGTGAGAGTTAACGTGAGCGCGACACCTAAGAAAGTGACTTCTCAAATAATATTATAGAGATACTATCATGTTTACAGTGACTAAGCTTCTGACAATATTTTAGTTTGATCACAAAAGTTTCGGGTATAGTGAGGGTGAAACAAGCAAGGCAGAGATGTTTCAGTTGAAAGCAAACGAGGCGAAAATGGAAGCAGAGAGGTTGGAGAGGATTGTGAAAGCTAAGAAGGAGAAGACTGAGGAGGAGTATGCGAGTAACTACCTGAAACAGAGGCTGAGCGAGGTGGAGGCAGAGAAAGAGTATTTGTTTCAGAAGTTGAAAGAGCAAGAAAGTGGTGGTAATGGTGGTGGTGAGGCGTCACAGTCAGTGATGTACTCAAAGATTAGAGAGATGCTGAATGGATACAATGCACCGCCGCCAAGAGTTGATCCAAGATCAAACCAGAGAAACCATTTTGGATCCAATCCTTGAAACGTTTGTATTCATGTTCAGCTTCAATTCTTGTTGGATTTGCGTGTGAACTGTGAAGTCTTGTAGTCGTTGTATTGCATTAATGTTTAATATCGTCGTACACTTTTAACCATATTAAAAACACTAATAGTTTTACTTCTAAGTTTAAGTAACTAACAAATTAGTTTTTTTTTTAATTTTGTTAAATAAGAAAATATGTTTTATTAAATTAAACATTGAAAATATACAATGATACTAACACTTATTAAATTTTAAACTTTTAAATGATGTTTAATACCTCTCCATGTCGTAATTTATGATGTTTAGAGAGTGTATGATGTCTCAATATATGTAACATGTTTTTTAGATAACTCTTAACTTTATTAAATAGACATAATATATTGTAATATATATTTTAGTTTGTTGAATAATTTATAGTGTATATTTAATATATTTAAGACAGAACGTAATAAAAAAAAATCATAAAAATACTTACACTAAATTCCGTTAAGATTTTTATTATACTGTTTTCTTTTGCTACTTAGTTTAATACTCAAACTAATTATTTTTCTCATTTTAATACCAAAGTATACTCGTTTTAATAATAAGTTATAAACAACAAAATTAAAATCTCTAATATTCAGAAACTAATCTTAAAATTTTCAAATTTTATTTTAAATTTTAAGAACAAAATTTGATAATCTTAATTTTATTTCTAATATTAGTTTTAGTTTCAATTTCAATTTTTTTTCTAAAGTTTAAAACTAATTTATTTATTTTATTCAAAATGATTCTTTTCAAAATTTTAAACTATTAGAAAAATTAATTAAATTCTATTCTTGAAATTTAAAATAAATTATGAAACTGTAGGATTTAGTTTTGAGTTTTAGATATTTTGTAAGTCTTGTTTGGAACTCATTTATATTTTCATAGTAAAATGTATTAAAATGAGCAAAATCATTTGTTTATGTATTAAGCTGGATGACAAAAAGTTTCGGTATTAAAAAACCTAACAAAATCCGTTGAAGTATTGTATGTAATTATCTTAATATTTTTGTATAAATCTAAAACATCATACCTTTTGAGAGAAGTATAAAACAACAAAATATTAAATATGAGATATTAACATCTTCTGCAAGCTTTAGTAATGTTTAAAAAAATATTACTATAATCTAATAAAAATCTTCAATTACAAAGAAAAACATAGTGTTTCAAAAGAAAAAACAAAGCAAAACATAATAACTATTTGCGAGAAAATAGTCAATTTCATCCTCAACAATTTATGTTGCACAATTTCTACTTAAATTCTGATATTGTGCCGATTTCAGTCTAAACTGATATTTATTTCAAAGAAACACATAAATTATCATATACAAATCGAAATTAACTTGGACCAAAATAATGTTGGTCAACTATCTACAAATATATAGGAAACAAGTTTATTTGAATAACTTAACAATACTAATAAATATTAATACCAAAAATACACATAAAATTAAGAAATTATGCAAAAAAAAAATTGCAATCGATTTGGTAGAAACGTTGATTATCTTCATTGTTAGGAAAGAGTGCAAATTGATTTAACTAACACTATCTCTTGCTGGAAATGTTTACGGATAGGAGCACATATTATCATCTTTGTTAGTTGAGGTAGATTTATGTTGTTTTATCAATAATAATAATATTGTTTGTTAATATGAGATTTTTTTATTATTTTGTGATATATGTTACATTTCTAAACTTTTTACTTAAACTTCTCTTATGATATTTGTATTTGTTCACTTGCTAGACTCTCACTGCTTGGGATCAACTTGTGAAATTTCATTCAAACACTCATGATTTGCGTAACAAAGATTTAGTCCAGTATTTAATTAGACCATCTCTCGTTGGAAAAGGTTATGGGCATGAGCGTTTCTTATCTTCTTTGTTAGCTGAGGTGAGTTTCATGTACGTTAGTTATGAATATTACTATTGTTTTTAACATTAGATTTTCTTGTTATTCTTTGTAGGTATGCACCAAGATGTTACCAACTGAAATCTCACAGTTCTACAATGATAGAATCTACATAACTAAACTCCATGGCCAAAATCTGGAAGCATCTAGTCTTATTCCTGGAATTGTTTTGAAAGCTGTACCATTGGGTGTACTCAATGTCGCTGTGTTGTTCTCTTCTGGATATCGAGACAATTTTTATGCATTTTTTATTCTCTCTTTGGAAATTTTAGAATATTTTTTTTTTTAAAATGATGTTAAGTGTGACCATTAGTTGTATAGATTTAGTTTAGCATGATACAAATTCACAGTTTATATGTAATTTTAATTTAACATACCATGTCATATGTTTCTACCACATAACATATCATTTCTTCTCAACTTTGTATTATTCATTTCACCTTTCTGATAAGTCCTACACTTTGCACTTTTGAATTGTTTCCTTATGCTTTTTTATTTTCTTTTTTTGTGGTGTGTGTTTATTGAAAACATGTCGATGTGTTCTTTGTTGGATTCGAGACAGTTTTTGTGCATTTTTATTCTCTTTTTGTGGTGTGTATTTGTTGAAAACATGTCGTCATGTTCTCTGCTGGATTCAAAAAAAAATTATTCTCTATTTTCAATTTTGATTATGGTGTGTGCTTATTGAAAACAAGTCACTGTGTTCTCTGCTGGATTCAAAACTGAGACTCTAAAAATAATTAATAAGCACATGTAAGTAAAATAATAAACAACCATCAAATCAAATTATATACCACTAACTAACATTTTTTTTTATAGGTTAATGGCAATAGAGATCAGTTCTGAGCTAAGATGTTTCAAATTATATACCTCTATTGTAAGTGTTTCAAATTTCACCAAAACTTTGTTATATGTTTATCTGATTTTGATTTTTTACTATTACAACAGTTGAAACTTGGCAGCAATCTAAGTCATCATGTATGGGCCACATCAATTATATATCGGTGGAAGAAATCGATCAAATGAAAGTAAGGAATCTCTTGTCCCACTTTCTCTCTCTCTCTCTCTCTCTCTCTCTCTCTCTCTTTATATATATATATATATATATATATATATATTTACAATGTTTTAACATTGTTTTCACGTGACCATTACAAGAAAAGAGGGTCACAAATCCATCTCCATACTCATTTTTCTGAATTTATCTATCTTCTTATTTGAGCACTTCTAATTATGTTTACGGTATGGCTTGGCAGAGTGGGGCATTGTTGGGTATTGGTGTAGTGAATGCGTTGTTGGTTTCGAAGTAGTAGATTCATGTCTTAAACTCTCTAGAATTTTCTTTAAACTCTTTCTAGCATTTTTGATATGATGTTGAATTCATAAGCAGCTTATGTAGTACAAGAAGAAGTAACATTTTGGTACTAATCGTTTTAGTATTTTTGAGTTCATGTATATTTTGGTACTAATTTGATAGTTCATGCCGATTTCATTGTAAACTAACATTTATTTCAAATAAAGACAAGAACTATCAAATTCATACCAAAATCAATTTTGACCAAAATAATCTTGATCAACCCTCTATAACTATATAAAAATTATATTTGAATAATTCAAAACAGTAAAAAGATTAATAACAATTACACAACATCAATAAAATTTGCTTTGATTTTGCAATTGATTTGGTCTAGACGCAGATTTTCTTCAAACGTCGGGAAATAGTGAAAATGATGAGAAAATAATAGTAATGAGTAACTTAGTTCCTGCCAATAAGTTCATGAGTAACTTAGTTCCTCCTAATAAGTTATTTTTTTCCCGTTTCATTTGTTGTTTTTGTTTTATATATTCTGTGTAGGCATGGACCAAGAGTCGATATGCTCCAGAGACTACAAGAAGACTTCGAGGATGTGAGTCTGTCTCATATTACTCGGAGTAAGAATGGTCGAGTGGACGCACTAGCTAAAGAAACAAAGAGTAAAGACTATACATTTTTCCATATAGATCAGAACAGTTCAGATGGAGATCCTCCCCGGAGAATCGACTCGTCTATCCACCACTTGATATAGTTTAGATGGGCGGTTGACCAAAAAAAAAAATCCTAATCAGGTTGTAAAAACGATTTTCTTACTTAGGGGTTAGAAGTTGGTGAAATCAGAATATCTGGGGGCAAGAGTGTAATAGTATAGAAGTTAAACGCGTGAAATCGAAGTGATAAAACGAATCCTCGCCGACGCATTCATCCGCCATCATCAGAAACAAACCCTAAAACTCTCCGATTCTCCCTTCCAATTTCATCTGATCCGAAACTCGAACGAGATGTTTCTATCGCCTGGCCACTCTCCACGTCATCTATCTTCTCCATCACCGTCTTCTAACGCCGACGATGGTCTCCGATCAACCCCTCGCACCTCCTCCTCTGAGATCACGCCGCGTAACCCTAGAAAACGGATGAGAGTCCTCGACGAAGACGCTTACGTGGAAGCGATCGAGAAGATCATCGAGCGCGATTACTTTCCCGATATAACGAAGCTTAAAGACCGTCTCGATTGGATCCAGGCGGTTAAAACCCGTGACCCGATCCAGATCCGAGATGCTCAGTTAAAGATCATCGAGAGGCGTGGGAGGAAAGCTAATCCTCGTGTAGGAGATAATACAGAGGGTAAGACTCAGACTCCTGGATCTACTTTCTTGAGAAATTTCACTCCTCTAGATGAATTTGATGGTAAGACTCCCAGAACTCCTAGAGAAGTAGAAGTAGTTGGAGCTGATAATGATGGAGACGGAGATGTAGATGTTAATATGTCCTTAGATGAGTTCTTTAAGAGGTATACAAGTGAGGATAACGAAAGCTTTTCGAAGATTCTTGAGAAGGTTAACAAGAGGAAGAAGGAGAAGTATAATTATCTCCTTGAAGGTGAAAGTGATAATAATAATAATCTGATTGAGGATGTGAAGAGAGATAGGATTACAGATGGTTACGGTACGTCGTATCAGCCACCGAGTACTTTAGAAGGATGGAAATACACAGCGAAGAATCTTCTCATGTACCATCCAGCTGATCGCGGCGAGGCGGCGTTAACCGAAGAGGAGAGAGCTGTGAGGTTAGCTGGATTGACCAAGGAGATAGCTAAAGGGAACACTCGTTTTCAAGGGAAGAGTATGGATTCTAGGCCGAGGGAGGATGGTTCCGTTGAGATTCTCTACACTCCTGTTGCGGGTTCTTCGCCGATGCATGTTAGGGATAGGGACAAGTCCAAGAGGTATGATTTGGATGATTTGAGGAAGACTCCGAATCCTTTCTATTTGGAGTCGGATAAGAGGGCGGATAATGGTTATAGTTTTGTTAGAACGCCGTCTCCTGCGCCTGGTCTTGATGAGTCACCGTTTATAACGTGGGGTGAGATTGAAGGGACGCCGATGAGGTTAGATCCTGAGGATACGCCTATTGATATTGGTGGTAGTGCTGATGGACCTCATTACAATATTCCATCTGCGCCTGCGAGAGATGTGGCGGCTCATTCTTTATCAAGGGACGCGTCGCGGAAGATAAGAGAGAGGTCGAACAGTATGTTTAAGAAGCCTCCGTTGCCGTCTCCTCATCGGAGTGGGAGTGCGAGTCCGAATGTTAGGACGCTTTCACCCGCTGCTCAGAAGTTTTTCAGACGGGCGATAGGGAAATCTTCTTCTACTGTTGATGAGAGTCTTCGTGCAAGTTATCGTGGAGCCAGTCCTGGTGGTGTGACTCCTAAGAGTGTAAGAAGTGCTTCTAGGTTCGGGAAAGATAGGCTCACCTCTGGTTCAAGGTCGCCTTGATTGTGTGGATGTTATGATTATATGACTGGCAACAAAGGTAGTTCTTCTTGACTACATAAGCTGCTTGTGTGCCAAGTTCTGTTGACTCTTTGCAGTTTGTAATACTATCTCTCGTCGCATTTGTAATTTTAATATTCTCCAGCTTCTCTTTTTTTCTCAGTAGCTCCTTTTATGCTCGCAGACTGTTTTATCTCTCACCGCAGTTCTTTATTACACTATCCTCACGCGAAGTTTGGGATTTATTCTCTTAATATATGTATCCTTTTGTGTAAATCAAGGTTCTTTATAGTTGTAATCAGAACTCAGAAGCTATAGAGAAATCATCATACATATACTTGTATACATGAAACATCACAAGTGTTTTTGAAAAACAACAAACATTGAGGATAGACCCAGACACATGAAAAACATTACTTCACTACTATATGTTACTGATTCCGTAGTAATTATTGTTAGATCATAGCAGCAACTGTCTCGACACAAGATTCACGTCTTGCCTTGTCAGAATCCATAGACACCATTGAGGATAGACCCAGACACATGAAAAACATTATTTCACTACTATATGTTACTGGTTCCATAGTAATTATTGTTAGTCATAGCAGCAACTGTCTCCAACAGGATTCACGTCTTGCCTTGTCAGAATCCAAGACTTCCTTTGAAGGTTTGATGAGAGCTTGATTATTAACATAATGCTTGCGACAAACGGGCATATATACATCAGCTCCACCAATCAGCTCGGTTTTGGTGTCACAAGTCTTTCTTAGAGTGAAGAAAGCTTTCTGGCCACAAACCTCACACCTTGCATTTAGCTTCGTCACAGAGTCAGCTATTGGTATAATGTCAAGAACAGCACCAAAGCTCCTTCTGCATTTTTAGAATCACATTCAAGTTACAGTCAACAAAAATTATTCAAATCTGAAAGCGTCAAAAGTCAAAACCATAGAATCAAGCACCTTAAGTAGTCACCATCAAGGCCCGCAACAATCACAGTTTTGCCATCATCATCAGCGACTTTGCAGCAAAACTCATAAAGATCTCCAAAAAACTGTGCCTCGTCAATACCAATCACGTCAAGCTACAACCAACCATTTCAAGAGAAAAAAAAAACACAAAATTTCAATAAATTTCTTTCAAAATAAGACCAAACCAAAGACTTTTACCTTGGCATAAGCATCATGTCCGAATATGTCGGGAAACGACATAAGATCCGGAAGAGCCCAGCAAGGGAATCCAATTCCATCATGCGTCACCACCGAATCTTTAGCGTATCTCGTATCTTTACTCGATTTCACCATCGCAACACTTCTACACTACCAAAACAGGAAAGAATTTTACAAACTAAGATCACTGAATTTATTGTAGATGGTGATAGTTTTTTTACTTTCCGATGCTGATCTCGGACTTGATACGGCGGAGGAGAGAGGTCGATTTTCCGGAGAACATAGGACCCATGATAACATGAATAGCACCAGACCCACGATGTTCTTGATGGGAGATAACATCTCTGGAGATGTCACTGTCGAGAGTCGCCATGGAAGAGACTTTATAAAGAGAAGATTTTGTGAGTGTGAGGATGAAAAGGAGGAGAAAGAGTTAAACTTTGCTTGTGGGTTTTAGGTAAGGATGATGAGTAACTTGTTGATGAGATATATAACAGTGACTCAGAGGTGTTGAAGAAGGAAGAGAATTGTTGAGGAAGATTGGTTCGAAGTCAAAAGATAAGGTTTTTTTTGAATATTTTGACTTCTTGGAGGGAAAGAATATTTTAAAGGGACCTTTTCAGGTTTTATATTGTGGGCTTAAGCCCAATAAACTTAGGATTGGACCTAAGGTGAAATTTTGTTTGTTTTTAAATTTTTTATATTTGTGATTTCACTAAATTGTAATAGTTATCTACATTTTTATTATAACCATGTAATTTTTGATACTTTGAAAAACTATTATAATACTTTATTTGACTTTGAATCCACATATGAACCAATCAAAAATGATTCGTAAAGGCATTAATTCTCAACCGTAAAAGCATTAATTTTCAACCGTAAAAATTGTTAAATAACGCTTAAAACTTTAATGGTAACCGTTTTGAAAACCTTTCTTATTTGGACATATATTCGATGTTTTAAAAAGTCAGATTTTGGTAATCTTTACGAAACAATATATATTATTTTATTGTAATGTTATTTCGATTTTAATTGTGCTAATAAAAATTATGTAACAAAACTAAGATTTTTTCTAAAATGTTATCTTTATAAATTTAAACTTAAAACACCAATGCAAACACAAAAAAAAAACAGCTTACATTAACCCAAACAACCAACAACCTAATAAACATCTTTAATTCAATACCTCTCTAGTTTAGTCTTAATGACACTAAATTCTAATAAATCTAGTATTTATTTTCATTCAAATATAAACTAAATACTCTAATTCTTTTCTTTTTGGTAAACAACAGTAAAATAAAAAAGGTAGCGTGTAAGGAAAAAAAAAAGAAAAAACAAAAACTCCGCAATTTCCTTATTACAAACGCACATGAGCTTGTAATGTAAAAAAGCTCCCCTTATCATGTATATATACAGACACATATCTTCGTTCTTCTTCTTACAATCCGAAAAAGCCTTCGTCTTTCTAATCTCCACATCTCTCTCTCTCTAGAGCGCGTCCCTGCGCGTCGTTCACTATGTTCTTATTGACACCATTGAAAAATTGATTTAAAATCGGATTGAACTAAAAACAGATAAAAACTTTGTATTCCCTATTAAAAAAAATCGACCTTCCCTCAGATCTTGACGAGATTCCGCATCTGAGGTTCTTTTTTTCTTTAATCTGATTGGTGGGTTTTTGTTATCATCTCGTTTTTTTTTATTCTTTGATCTGAGATTTGATTTTAAATCCGTTTCCTTTTTGATCGGTTGATGAAAGATCTGTTGTTCCTTGATTGATTCCGAAGTGTTCGATTATATGCCAAAGCTGTTGGATTTATGTTTTTGATCTGACAACTTTGTGTTCGGTCTGAAAGTTTGGTTCTTTGTGTTGCTGCAGAGCAACAAAAATGCAATCCGACAATGGAAAGCTATTCATCGGAGGGATATCATGGGACACTAACGAGGAACGTCTCAAGGAGTATTTCAGCAGCTTTGGTGAAGTGATCGAAGCTGTGATCTTGAAAGACCGTACCACTGGTCGTGCACGTGGCTTTGGCTTTGTAGTCTTTGCTGATCCAGCTGTTGCAGAGATTGTTATTACCGAAAAACATAGTATTGATGGTAGATTGGTATGTTTGGATGTGATTCTCTACAATGTAACTTGTTTTTATGCAATCAAAGATCACATAACCATCAAAGAGTTCGTTTTTTAAACTATTTTTATTAATTTTGGTAGGTTGAAGCGAAGAAAGCTGTTCCAAGAGATGACCAGAACACAGTAAGAAGCAACAGCAGTAGCATCCAAGGATCACCAGGCGGTCCAGGAGTTAGGACAAGGAAGATATTCGTTGGAGGGTTACCTTCTTCGGTCACAGAGAGCGAATTCAAGACCTATTTTGAGCAGTTCGGGACAACTACCGATGTGGTTGTTATGTATGACCACAACACACAGAGGCCTAGAGGTTTTGGATTCATAACTTATGATTCCGAGGAAGCCGTTGACAAAGTATTACTCAAGACGTTTCATGAACTTAATGGTAAAATGGTTGAGGTTAAGCGAGCTGTTCCGAAGGAGTTGTCTCCAAGTCCAGCTCGTAGCAGTCCTCTTGGTGCTGGTTATAGCTATGGGGTTAATAGGGTTAATAACCTATTGAATGGGTATGCTCAAGGGTTTAGTCCTGGTGGAGTTGGAGGCTATGGGCTTAGGATGGACGGCCGGTTTAGTCCGGTTGGTGCTGGGAGAAGCGGGTTTGCGAATTTCGGTTCTGGTTATGGGATGAATGTGAATTTTGACCAGGGTTTGCCCACAGGGTTCAATGGAGGTACAAGTTTTAATGGAAACTTAGACTTTGGTAGAGGAATGAGCCCTTACTATATTGGGAATACAAACCGGTTTGGCCCTGCGGTTGGTTATGAAGGAGGCAATGGAGGAGGAGGAGGAGGAGGAAGCTCATCTTTCTTCAGTTCAGTTACACGGAACCTATGGGGAAACAATGGTGGTCTTAACTATAACAACAACGCTACAAACTCAAACTCAAATACATACATGGGAGGAGGATCAACAAGTGGTAACAACACACTTAGCGGTCCATTTGGAAACTGGGGTGCTCCTGGAGGAGGAGGAGGAGGAGGAAACAATGGTGTTAGTAACGAGAATGTGAGGTTTGGTTATGGAGGAAACGGTGAATCTGGTTTTGGGTTGGGAACTAGACACATAGGGCCTAGCAAGGCAGCACCATCATCTTCATTCTCTTCTGCCTCGGTAACCAACAACACTGGTTATGAAGGAGCAGGACTTGCAGAGTTTTATGAGAATGGTGCAGTGTATAGTGATCCCACATGGAGATCATCAACTCCTGAGACAGAAGGTCCTGCTTCTTTTAGCTATGGGATTGGAGGAGGAGGAGGAGTAGGTCCTTCATCGGATGTTTCAGCTAGAAGTTCATCTCCAGGTTATGTTGGCAGTTACAGTGTGAACAAGAGGCAACCAAACAGAGGTAATCTTAGTTCATAGGGATTTTTGTTTTTAATAACTGGATTATATGCTTAAAGAATGACATGAGCTAGCTGATAAGTACAGGAATAGAATAGGAATGTATAGTTTCCTGATAGAAAGCCTAGATGGGTTCCAAATAACATTAAAAAAAGAAACCATGGTTTAGGATCTTGAACTGATAGTGAATTGACTTCTTTCATTGCTTTAGATATGTGCTCATGGAGCTAGGAAACTAGCTTAACCTTATGCATTGCTCACAATAGAGTCTCTGGGAAGTCTAAGTTGTATCTCCCTTTTTCTTCGCCTTGTGTTGCAGGAATTGCTACTTAGTACAATCGTTTTTGTTTTTACCACGATATTGTAGGCGAGCCATTACGGTGAAGGATCTGTTGTGTCTTTTTGGCGAATCTTTTAGATTATCTTCTCTCCTTCATACAAAGCTTATGAGGACAAAAACTTGATCACATCATCAGCTAGAGGCTTGAGTTAACCAGAAAATCCCAAAGATTATGGTTTGGTTTAAATTCATTGGTCCTCTTAGGCTTCTTTTCCGTTTTTCTTTTTTTTTCCTATTTTTGTTTTTTTTTCAATGAGGGACAGTAGAAACTGTATCAGTCTCTGGCGAGGCTGTAATACATTAGACGAGTTCAAAACCAAAAAAGGAGAGGATGATCCTTCTTCCTGAGTTTTCTTTATTGTCATGTCATGTAATGGTTTCTTCTTGGGGGTTATGTCTAAGGGTTTGTGTTTTGAGGCAGATTGTACTAGAGGTTTATATGTTTTTTCTTTTGTTGTCGTTTTTAAGGTTTTTAATGTTTTTGATAGTGTGATGATATTGGAAAAAAAGGATTTAGCCAATGTAGGGCTTTGGAGAATAAGTCTGTTTGTATGTCTTATGCGAACGCAAGCAAACTCGTTTCTGTTCATGTACTTCTATCTTATAGAAACTCATTTTTATGTTTCATTTGATTTCTTATCTTCATTGTGGATGATTTTTCTTTTTTTGCAAAAAAATATAGTCCAAATAATGACTAACATTCATTGATTGAATGTGAAGACCCTTATGTTTTGAGTTAGAAGAATATAACTTTGATTTCTTTTAGCATTTGTTTTCATTATTATTATGAATACTAATGAATAGTTGAATCATGATATTCCAATAATATTTATACTCCACACAATTTCTTTTCACTAAATTGATCCCCAAAATAGAAAAAAAAATAAAAGAAACTTGGGTGCCAAGACACCACTAACCGTTTGAACTACTGCGAAAGCTTCACTTGCACAATTGGTTATCAATATATATAGGTTTTAAAGTGCATGCACCAATGATTCAATGACTATAGTTCTCAAATTACACTAACCATACAATAAATGGCTCATTAGTTGATTAGTTATGTAAAAACAAACTCTCTCGTTGACGCAAAACTCTAATGGCTTGAACCGATCGAGACAATTGGAAGATTAATAGTTTTTTTTTCTGGTTGAAAAAGCATAATGGATGCATTCATATTTTAATTAGATATATATTAAGAGCATACATCATAGATCATAGTATAGAAAATTTTACAATATTGTATGGGTGCTTTAGGTTAAAAGTTTTTGAGCTTCTACTTATTGGGGTAGCTTGGTCACAGGACTGCTGCAAGCTGCAGGGCTCTGAGCTCCCAAGAGTTTGGGACTTACGTTTGAGCACTGGAAAGTAGCTGGACCATCAGCTCCACTGTACTTAATATCAATGTCTCCAATCTCGACGTTCTGGCATGGATATCCCTTGCTGCACAATAGCTTCACTGCGTCTTTGTTCCCTGATGTTCCTCTGATCTTCTTGAAGCTTATGTTCACAAGCTTAATCGTTGATGCTTTCTGCAGATACAAAACAAAAACAATTTCATAATCAACAGAATAATATGTTTGTAGAACCCACCCATATATAGACATTACCGGTTCTGAGCCAATCCTAACCAAATATTCGCCTTAGCTCCCAAAATTTTCGAAAAAGTTTATATAGATAAAAGCTCCCAAAAATTTTAGTTCAAATCTTACATAAATCGTATAGGACCCCTACATCTCAGGACCGCCCGGCCATGTATTTAGAAACACCAAGAACCCAAGTCATATATTATATTAAATTGAATGATAAAGATATGTTACCTTCTTGTTACATTGGTTCCAAGGGCAGTACTCCTGGTCGATGAGGATTGGGTTGGAAACATTCTTAACAATGATATCCTCGAAATGAATATCAGAGGCAGTGGTGGAGCAAGCAGCTGATGGCCATGTCTTGATCCTAAGTCCATTGTCAGTCTCTTGGAGAGTACAGTTCACAACCCTAATACCACTAACATCTTGCTCTTTTCCGTACCTTCCAAGGCTTCCGACACTGATCCCATGTCCTGGACCGCATGTGACTTTCTCCACGTGAACGTTACTCGTCCCATCTCCAATGGAGACGCAGTCGTCTCCTGTGGAGATGAAGGAGTTAAGGATCTTGATCCCATCACTTCTTCCCATGTGGATACCGTCAGTGTTGGGACTGTCTTCTGGAGCGGTGATCTTGATGTTATCCATGGTCATGTTCTTGGCTCCGAGAATGTTGATGTGGAAGTTCTTGGCATCTATTGATGATATGTCTTTGATCTCAGAGTTCTCCACAAAATCAAATCTTATACTCTATAAAAACAAATATAAAAAATAACATCACTATAAGTTGTTTTCTTTCACAAAAGCTAATTAAATTCTGATATATTCAGGTCTCAAAACTTTTAAGCCTATTCACCATTTAAAACCTAGGTAATAATTTCAAAATCTTAAAAACAAGTGAGGACATAAGCACATACGATGGGGAGTTTCTTGCAGTTGAATGTCTGGTGACAGTTATTGACTCTCCAAGCTGCGTTTCCTTCACCGTCAAAAACTCCACCACCGTTCAACTTAAACCCATTAATGTTACCGAAGACAACCCATTTGTCCTTCCCCTGGATGGCGTTACCGTCAGCTTTGACAGTGCCTTGAATGGTGATCTCGATAGGAGCTTTGCATGGACCCCTCATCTCGATTTCACCGAGCTTGAACTCTCCTTTTGGGATCACTACTTTGCTCGGAGAGGGAGATTGGCATGCCGATGTGAATGCTTTCAGAAGTGCCTGCGTATATCAACACAATGAGAGTATGAGACTTTAACAACTAAGCCACTATATATGGTTTGGAAAGATTGCTTGTAAAGCAAGAAAGAGGAAAAAGCAATATATGACTGACCTGAGTAATATCAGAACCTGAAGAGGAACTAATGCTGAATACCTCAGCATTGGCTGAAAATCCAAGCAAACAGAAAATAAAAATTGTAGAAACTCGAAAATATGCACCCATTTTTTTTTAAAAAATATTTACTACTAATATTACTATTTAGTTTAGTTTGCTTTGTTTCTTGGATTTGATTAAATTCATGGTTATCTTTATATAATGGGCGGGGAAAGAGATGTTCAACTCTAACTTTTCTCACCACCTCTCATTTTTTTAGGTTGTGTTACCCCAGTCTTTGGAATGTGCTGTCTAATTTTGTAACTTGATGGTTGAAACTAAAAAGTACCTAAAAGGATAACAGTAAATTGTTGCTTTTCTATAGTGTTATAATTTTATACGTTTCCTTTTAAGAATATTGTAGCTAAAAATGTCACAAAAACTGTTAGCAACTGTGAACTGAATTTATTAATTAGTAACTTTTCATATAACGGGTTTTAGAACGCTATTCTATAATATTGAGTTAAATTTAAAAACTTCCATTTTCTTCTAATTATGAACATTTGATACACTACTATGTAAAGAACAGCTGGTCTCTTGATCCCAGGCGAAGGCTGCATAGCAAGTAGAAATGGTCCGTGTAGATCCACCATGATAATTAATAAACGTCTCTCATGGGACATCTATCAAGCAGAGATAACCATGGACAACATATATAGATAATCTTATGACTGCTTCTTTTTCTCAAGTTACATATATATGATAATGTCATGTATCTTACATTACATAACGTTGGAGAGGCAAAAATAGAGATCTTGAATATAACTTGACATGAATAAAAATTGTGAGATGAATATATTACAGGATAGCTATCATCGATATATAAGACGTCTCAGAAAATAATATTCCCCAACAAAGGTGAGGTGAACCATTCACGACATGAAATAAAAATAGACATGGATCAGAACAGTTATTGTCAACTAATATTACGGTTTCTACATATATATATAACTTCATAAAGCTAAGCATATTATTAAAAGGAAAATCATGTGTAGAAAATTTAGATAATTTTTTTTAGTTTTATTAAATCATAATGCACACACACATCTATATATATGTTGGCATCGAATAAACACAATTTTTTTTTGTTACAGTTTTTTCAAAGTCCCCTTACGTGACTTGAAAAAGGGTTAATTAGAAAAAAGGAAAAACAAAATTGGATGTGAAAGCCCTAGGTGTGTTGATCTGAGCTTCAACATTTTACTCTTTGCCAGGAACCTTGACCACAGGTCCAACACAAGCCTTTGGGTTCTGGGTTCCCACAAGCTTAGGAGTAACGTTTGTGCACTCGAAAGTGGGTGGACCATCGGGTCCTTTGTACTCAATGTTAATGTCTCCAATCTCAACGTTCTCACATGGATGCCCCTTGCTGCACAATAGCTTCACTGCGTCTTTGTTCCCTGATGTTCCTTTAATATTCCTGAAGGATATGTCCACCAGCTTGATTGTTGAGGGTTTCTACAAACACAAACAACATTTGGGAAAAAAACAGAATATGTAACCTCTACTAACATGGTAAATGCTAAAGATCAAGAAAACCATTAGCATAATTAATATGTATCCAATTTGTATAGTGGCAAGACATGAACTCTAATAAAGGATATATACTTACGTTCTTGTTGCATTGGTTCCAAGGGCAGTACTCCTGGTCGATGAGGATTGGGTTGCTAACGTTGTTAAGGATGATATTCTCAAAATGAATACCAGCGGCGGTGGTGGTGCAAGCCGCAGATGGCCATGTCTTGATCCTCAGACCGTTGTCGGTTCCCGTGAGGGTGCAGTCGATAACCCTAATGTCCTTGACGTCTTGCTCCCATCCGTACCTTCCAAGGCTTCCAACACTGATTCCGTGTCCTGGACCGCACGTAACTTTCTGAACGAGGAGATTCGTCATCCCATCTCCCACAGAGATGCAGTCATCTCCTGTGGAGATCTTAGTGTTGAGGATCTTGACTCCCTCACATCTTCCCAAATGGATACCGTCAGTGTTGGGGCTTTGAGCTGGAGCAAGGATCTTGATGTTGTCAAAGGTCATGTTCTTGCCGCTGATAACGTTTAAGTGGAAGTTCTTGGCATCTAGGGAGGTTATGTCTCTTATCTCAGCGTTGTCCACAAAATCAAACCTTACACTCTACAACAACAAGAAAAACATGCATCATTGAATTATATATCATTTTAACAAAAAGCCACTTTATTTTATTTTTCTAACAAGCCACTTAGCAATATCATAATTTTTTTTTAATAGTTTTGAATAGTTAAGGACTCTAATCACAAATGTTCTTCCAATGGTGTTATCCATTATGGAGTTATAAGAAGAAGAAAAATTTTAAATTTTAAAACATGTGAAACTAAAATTTTTATGAGAAAATGACTTAGAAAAACCTAAAAAATGTTTTTGTCAAAAATATAGCCTATAAAAAATGATTAAAATAGACTTTATTAAAGTGTAAAAATACATTTATACTCTTTAGATTAACTAATCTAGACTTAATGTTTAGAATTATGGGGTTAGGGTTTAGGTTTTACGGTTTAATTTTTTTTTTTAAAGTTAAAAATCGGACGTTAATTAAGAACTGATCCTTAGCTTAAGCAAATTAAATAATATTATTTAAATCTATTTGCCTAAGAATACATGTTAAGGATTTGTTTAAATCTCCCATTGTGGGTGCTCTTAAATTTGTGTTTATAATATTAAAGACAGAAACACTTACAATGGGAAGTTTCTTGCACTCAAAAGTCTTGTGACAGTTATTGGCCTTCCAAGCTGCATTCCCTTCACCGTCAAAAGTTCCACCTCCGTTCAACTTAAAACCATTAATTTTTTCGAACACAACCCATCTATCCTTTCCCTGGGTAGAGCCACCATCAGCTTTGACGTTGCCTTGCAAGGTGATCTCGATTGGAGCCTTGCATGGACCAGTCATCGCAATCTCACCAAGCTTAAAGTCACCTTTGGGGATGATCACCTGGCTTGGTGCTGGAGCTTGGCATGCCGATGTGAATGCTTTTAGAAGTGCCTGCAACGAGCACGTAAGCCAAAATATAGAAGAAGTGATTTTATAGATTCTTTTGAATGCAAGTAATAAAAAAAGAAGTCAAGATACTAACCGCAGTAATATCAGAACCTGGAGGGCCACCAGCGGTGAACACCTCGGCATTGGCTGAATATCCTAGCAAACATATAACCAAAATTGTGTAGATTCCTAAATACGATGAACCCATTTTTATTTCTTTTAATTTTATTTTATTGTTTTATTGTTTTTTTATTTTTGTTTTCTGAAATTTTTACTACGCATCTGATGCTTTATATAGTGCCTTCAACGGAGTTATTTTTAAGGCCCCTTTTTCTCTCAACGTCTAGTTTTTTTATAGATTGTTTTGACCCATTTTTAAGGAAGTATTAGGTTAATTTTATTACGAGAAACTAGCGTTTTATTATTAGACGAATGACTTGTTCTACTACATGTTTATAGCCATAGGTATGATACATTCATTTTTAGCAGGTAAATCATTACCCCAACTTATGTAATTAAACAATGTAAAATAGATGTCTAATGGATATATAACTAGTAGAATAATAAAAGTAAATGATCCACATGAGCCATAACTCAAATGATCCACTTTTGATACTAGTCTCTAGAGTATGCGTTTTGTTTTAAATATTTTAAATTTAAAAGTTCCATACTCAGAAACAGCCAATAGCCATTTGGTCCCAAAATTTTTCAATGCTCGAATTAATCAACATGGACAGCAAGTCAGCAACTTATCCAGACAAACTAGCATATGATTCTGAAAAGGCATAGTCTATAGTCTAGTGAGATAATATATGACTGCATTTGAGTAAAGTTTTCAATATTTTTAAAATATCATGTTTATTGTTTTTAATATATTTTAGGCATGAGACATTCTAAGAGCATGCCCATCAGTGATTCTGGCTCGACACGAAATCCTAGGTTAGTTTTAATTTTTTTTTTCGTTTGAATTTTTCAAAAAAACAAAAAATCGACGAATCATGGCCCGCCACGTGGCGAATCCGTGACGATTCGGGTTCACCACGGGGAGTTCACCACGGGGAGTTCACGCGATTCGAGTTCACCACTTTTTCTCTCGAAAAATGTGTGAACTCCCATCTTAAAAATCCCTAATGGATATGCTCTAACGAGGTTATTCTCTTTAAATATGAAACCGTACCAAACCGGATAAAACCGGCATATACCATATAAGTGTAATTGCAGCAAAATGAAATTGGTTAAGAAGACTAACTCGGTCGAACAGTGATGAAATTATTCGTGAGAGATAAATATTTAATTTTAAAGATTAAAAAAACACAAAAAGCGAGATTTTGTCTTTGTCGTGGTTCGAGGCTTGTGTCCTAAACAATTATGCTTTTGTCGGAATTCTCGTTAGTGACCTTCACGATCTCTTTCTCTCTCCTATAACTCGGATCACCACATGACTTCATCTCCTCCTCCTTCCCGTTAACACAAACCAAAAAATCTCTAAACTTTGTTCCGTTCTCTTCTCTCTTTGATTAGATCGATCACATTTGCAGAATTCTCGAAGTATCTTCTTCTTCTGGAGCTGTATATCTGGTTCCAGAGAGACATGGACCACAACAACAAGAAGAATGAAGGAGGAGAGGACGGAAACACGTCCAAAACGGCGTCGTCTCATCCTCACGATGGCACGGACGACGAGGGTGTTGGATCCGTGGGGAGACAGATGAGCGAGTCTTCTCTTTGTGTTACAGAGGAAGAAGAAGAAGACGATTCCAAATTACAATTGGGTCCTCAATACACTATCAAAGAGCATCTCGAGAAGGACAAAGTTTGCTTTCTTTTTTCCTCTGTTTTTTTTTTTCAAGTTAAATTTTTTTGTAGAATTTTCTTGAAACGAATCTGAATTTTATAGGATGATGAGAGTTTGAGGAAGTGGAAGGAACAGCTTCTTGGTAGTGTTGATGTCACAAACATTGGAGGTTTTGTATAAAAAAATGCAATCTTTATAAATAATAATCATCATCTTGGATATGATTGTTAGATCATTATGTTTGTTTGATGTCTCTGTGATTCATTTGAATAGTTTGGATCAGACTCTGGAACTTACAGTTGTTTTGTTTTATGGAGTTTTATAGACTTTTGTCTCTTTTTATATATGTAGAGACTCTTGACCCTGAAGTGAGGATCCTTAGCCTGGCTATCTTATCTCCTGGAAGACCAGACATTGTTCTTATGGTACCTGAGAATGGTAACCCAAAGGGAATGTGGTTTACTTTGAAAGAAGGGAGCAAGTACAGCTTGAAGTTCACGTTTCAAGTTAACAACAACATTGTCTCTGGTCTTAGGTACACCAATACTGTTTGGAAGACTGGTGTTAAAGGTAAAAAAAAACAGTGACACACAAGTTTGTCTTAGATTATTTTAAGAGACAATTAATGTGATTTTCTTCTTTGGATTCAGTGGACAGAGGAAAGGAAATGCTTGGAACATTTAGTCCTCAGCTGGAGCCATACAACCATGTGATGCCTGAAGAGACAACTCCTTCTGGCATGTTTGCTCGTGGATCATATTCTGCAAGAACTAAGGTCAATCTAACTAACTAACTCTGTGATATATATTCTTTGGTGGTGTTGATATTCACTTGATACTTAAGAGTTACTTTCCCAAAAATCTTTGTTTCAGTTTCTTGATGATGATAACAAGTGCTACTTGGAGATCAATTACAGCTTCGACATCCGTAAAGAGTGGCCTGCGGTTTGAAAGTGGAACTCAATTCTCCTGAGATGAAGTGTTGGGCAGTAGAAGTTGTGTTTGTTGCACTCCCTTTTTCACATTGAGCATGTTATTGTGGATTGTTTACCAATCATCGTAGAACAAGAAAGACAGATAGTTCCTTCATCTTTGATCTTGATTTTTAGTAATGCCGTTGGAAATCAGTATGTGTGTTTGTTCTCAAGTTTGTTTCTCCTTCCTCTTCTTTAACATGTGTTTGATATGATTGTGTTGGATTTTGAGATGTAAAATGACTAATTGTCTTAGTCAAAAGCTGAAGAGATGAGAGTTTTGAATATCTTATGAAGTCTCATGTATCATCTGCTTTACGAGTTGTGTATTTTTTTTTTTTGTTATGAAGAAGTTTTGAGAGTATTGAATGGATGTCTGAGAAAACATGAAGATCACAACAAATTATAATTTATATCAAAAAAAGAAAAGAAGAAACTTGACATTTACCATCTCAGAAAATGGATATTATTGGTCTTCAGTTTTGCTTTCAAAATTAGAAATCCTATTTTATTTACTTTAGCAGAAGAAGAAGAATAAAAAGACCATCAAGAGGGGTAAAGTATATAAGGCATTGGACTCCCTCCTTGTACAGCTTCATGGCTCATCTTTCTCCCAAACCAACTTTTGTTTTATGTGTTCTTACCAGTTTCTTTAAGAGAGTTGAGTCTCCTCAGTCTCTGGTCAAGTTCTGCCATCACAGCCGGTTCCTGCTTCTTCCTCTGCTTAGATATGGTGTTGGTAGTCATGGATCCAATTTTCTCAAAGGCCACCTATAAAAAAAAACAGATTATGAATCTTGAATACATAAAAACTAGCTTATTTTCTTTGTACTAGAGTAAGGCTTACCGTTAATAACTCATCCGGGTCAAAGAGCTGGTGTGAGGTAGTCTGTATTATGTTGATTACATCACCGACTTGGTGAGTCATAAGCAATTCGTTTTCTTTCATCTGCAAATGAAAGATAGATTAGTGAGATGAAACATACTCTCAAGGAGGAAAATGTTATCAAAAGGAAGAGAAGTAAAGAACCTTGAATATTGCTAAAGCTGCATGGAAAAGAACCTTGGCTCCTTCATAGAAAAGTACATCCCAAACTCTTAGAGTTGTCTGCAAACAAAAAGTTCAACGCATCCTTAACAAAAGCAAGCTTAGAAGCCAAATATAATTTGATAAACTAGTGAACCTCTGAAGGAAGGCTTTTGGAGAAGAGGCATAGAAACCACTCAGTGGCTACAAGGGAAACATCAAAGCCCATATCGTCAAGATGAGAAGCTATTCTGCAAAACAAAAAAACACAATGTGTTAAACAATTTGATAAACTAGTGAATCTTAGCATCCAAGACTTACCGAGGACATTTTTGAGCAAGCAGATCTTTGAATACCCTCTGCTCAACATGGCATCCAGACAAGTTTGTTGTGTAGCAGTCACGGACTAATACATTTTCCAGAAGAACAGCTAGCATCCAGAAGGCATCTTCTTCTGTCTTCATGACAAGTAATAGTAAGGCTGCAACATAATTTAGTCCCTGCAACAAACAAAAAACAGCATTGATTAAGATTATAAAACTCATTTGAATAGGGCAAAAAATGGAGATGGAAGAAGGATAAGTGTGTAACCTGACAATAGCCAACATCAGAATCACGAAAGGAATAACCAACAAGCACACGTCTTAGAGCAGCATGACCTTCTGGAGTGTCCAACCATGGATGGCCAGGGAAAGTCCTTGGCAGATCCTGCAACCATTTGACGGCAAATGATGAATACGTTGCACTCAAAGATAAGGGAAATCAACTTATCATATCACATAATCTCCAATAACCATCAATAAAACAGTGACACAGCAGCATCAAAACTCTGCTACTATAATTGCCTGAACACAAGAATGAACAATCAAAATATATAGAAATAAAACCACACTCTTTCAGCAAACATCAATCCTAGAAACTCTCAAAAACAATGTCTGAGAGGCAAAGCATCAAAAATCAGAGAGGTGAAAATCAACTATTCATAGCACATAGCATATGAAGTAGTCTTTTATGACCATCACTCAATAGTAGTAACAAAGAAATAGACTTCAATACCCTCTTAGTTTACATGAACACAAGAATGAGATATAAAGCAACAGACCAAAACAATCCTAACACAAAGCAACAAAGAAAAACCAATCCCAAATCACCAGAAAAACACTAAGTTGTCTGAAGATCAACAAACCAAATAGATGAGCCAAGATAAAACTCACATGATCAATCTGCAACGTCGCAGGCGTGACCATCCCATCAACAGCCTTAGTCAAATCACTATAATAACTCTCAGGAACAGTACTCTTCTTCTTAGCAGCACCAGAAAGAGAGAACCAAACCTTAGGCCTCAACACAGGAGGAATCCCTTTCCTCACCAACCTCTTCAACGTAATCGCATTAGTCAAAGTCTTGATCTTCAAAGACGTCTTCAACGCAATCCCGCCTCCTATCAACAAAATCTCAGGCTGGAGATACCAGTTAGCTCCCTTGCTAGCTTCAAGAGCCCACCAGACTCTCCCTTGGTTCCTCACTCTCTCCCTAACTTCGTTCAAGACGTTAACGTCGTCCACGTTTCCTTCCACCGTGAAACCGTACATGTCTTGGAACTTGACGATGATGTTGGCTCGACGGGCGTGGATGCTGGGACGGAGGATTGGGATTTGTGATTGGAGCTCCATTGTTAAGTCTCTTCTGTTTTGGATCCCGAACATCTTTTGTCTGAATTTCCAGATTTGTCTGAATTTCCAGATTTGTCTGGATTTGTTTTTTCGTCAAATTCGGACCAAGCACGAGAACTGAAACATGACACCGTCAAAAAAAGGAAGCGACTTTATTGGATTAAGGAAAAAAAAAAGAGTAAATCTTTTAATCAAAGTTGTAACCTTTTTTCGATATATTATAATGTTGTCACGTTTTCTGCAAAAGTTATCTATCTCCTTGAAGCTTTCTTCTCTAATCTTCTTCTCTACGCAGTCAAATAAACTCGTCTTTCCTTTTTTTGTAAATTTAAAAAATGTAGAAACAGAGAAGCTGAAGGCAAGAACAGATTGATTTTTTTTTCTCTCGTGATGAATAATGAGACTAAAAATGGAAAAAGTGTAAAGACACACTAAAAATAGTTTTTTTTTTTTATTAAAGAAAAAGAAACTGAGAATCCAGAGGAGCTTTTGAATTGGAATAACGCGTCTCTCGGTGTCTGTTCGAACAGAGAATGATTTTAGAGAAGTTGGGAGTGTTGGGAATGTCCTAAAATCATTTGTACTTACTCTTGTTGAAGTCGTAGTGTCGAGATTGACAATCATATAATATTAGGTGGTTATAATGTTTTGCTAGAAACCGCTTATAATCTATGAATTAAGAATTCATTGCTAATATTATATGATCCTATAGGGTCACACACCTAAACAAACTGGATATAAATAAATTGGAG